ACTGCAGCATTGTCATTCAAGTCTTCAAACGACAGACCACGTTATAGTTCTCGTTTTAAATAGTATTGCAAATAAATGACCGTATTCCATGTAGGCTACGTTACCTTACTTCGCGTACTTGAAGCAACAGACCGATTTACGTACAATAAATGATTATTCCGTGTTTTTTTTGGTTTAACTAGGGGAGTATTCTTAATAACGCCGTGCGTGGTGCGTGTGCGCCGGGCGTGGACTTCAAAGCTTGTTGGACTTGACAAACATAAAATGAACACAGCGAAAAATAATCAATAATTTTCACGTTAATCGGTAAAAATAAAGTACAAAATTTGTTCTAAGGTGCTACTGGCTGCAATATGTATATAAATACCTGATATGTGTGCGAAGATTAGACAAAACTACAAATCGGCTTTTTTCCTGTCTAACGAACCTTCTTGGGTGAGACCGGAAACCCATAACCGGAAGTACGAACTTTGACCTTCGGAACACGTGGTTTTCTTGTTTGATATTCTGAAGGTGCTTATGTCACTGTGATTTCGCGTACTTTCTCAGTATTTCACATTTCTGTGCACTCATCATAACATTAATATATCGTGAAAGGTATGTGTGATATTATATCTGTACATCTGCACAGTTATGATTATGATAATTATTACTATCTGCACAAACTGTGGTATATTATTAAAATGGAAAACTCACTATCAACACTCACGACACACATAGACAGCAGTGTCTATGTGTGTGTTTGCTCCAAGTAAAGAACCCCCCTCTTCAATATATGCAAATTTGTATTAGTGCAGTATTTATGAATATTTATAAAATTAAATGGCAATTGAATCAAGCCAGCCAATAACGCAACACAGTGTGCAATTACATGATTTTAAAATGTTTTGGTTTTAATTGTGAAATTTATTCATTTATACTCATAAATAGAATCAATCAGTTGGCCATTTTGACCTATATTCATAAAGATGAAGAGAATGCCGCTGTTGCACCAAGAGTAAAACATGAGATTTCTCTAGGCCGTTTATATTTATAGTGATGAAAGAATTATGTTGTTGCATCAAGAATACTACTCTTCAACGTTCCAATGTTATTCAATCAGCCAATGAAAACTCTCATTTCAGTTCAAATTTTGAAATTTATAAATATTTATAATGATGAAATGAAAAGTAAAATATGTCTTTAAATGACTACTGAAGGGCTTAAAGCTGGGGTTGTTGTAAATGTTTTATAAAAAATCAATTTTTATAAATCAAAATGACTGGTAGAATTCAAATTCAGAATCGATATGGCAACATTATCACATAATCTAATAATATATTTATAAGCTAGTTCAATATCCAATCAGCAAGCCTTTCATTTTG